TTGGTGATATGTTCCAACGAAAAACTACAGCGAAATGGAGAAGGATTACACGTTTATCTGAAAAAACAATGCATTCATCGTTGACAAAATTAGTACCATTTTGCGTTTTAAGATGACGTGTATAATCGTCGAACACAGTTAACTAGTTAATTCTCCTCGAATCTCATTGTAAAGAATACTCACGTTCAATAACTACACAGTGAACACTAAATACACCACGCTCGATCGAATGGCTGATACTTCCAAACGGAAAGAACGTATCTACAACTTTTCGTTCTCATTAAAAACAAATGAAAATATATAATCATTTTCTTGTTATCCTGTATAAAATCGACAATTACCTACATTCCTTTCTCGAAAATATGATCTGTAACTAAAGTGCCGATACGTTCAGCGTTAACGCATTGTTGACCGGTCACGAGTTAACTCGCCTCTGCACATGCATTAGCCATTTCAATGGTTGAAACTCAATTTATTATGTATGAACAAAGTATATTAAAGTTTATTTAGATTCTTTCACTTTCATATTTAATTACAGAACAATAAGCGGCGATATGGGACAGCTTCTGCGTAAAATCGCCGGTGAACAATGCGTTAAAAGGTTAACGATACAGCAGTATTATCGAGTAGAGTTGCGAAAGAAATCACGGAACAAGGGGTTAAGGCTGGGAAAACGTTGCAAAATCGGGAATACCGTGGGCAGAGACGAGTGAACGCGAAGGACTTAGTTTACGGCCTAATGTATCCGGAGGAGAGTCGAAGGAGACAGACAGATGGTCTCAACAGCGGCTTTAAGTGTCGGAAGAACCGATGACTGGCAACTGGCAAGGGGCCCTGAACCTCGTGTAAAAGGTATGTACTGGTCCAGAGCGCCCTTGCCTTCGCTCCGTCAGTTTTTTCATCGTCTGCTCCCGGACTGCCGCTTTTAAAACGATCGTCACGGGCACCGCGCTTTTACGCGATTCTTTCTCGGCAGGTGTGCACGCTTGTCTTACCCGTCGCGGGTATCCTTCCTTCGTTACCTCTTATTACTGCGGCGAATAGTAACCGGTGCGCGAACGATATCGCCTCTACTCGTCGAGAATCGAAAATATTCCTATTCCATCATGTGTACACCCTCGAATCACAGCCTGCACCTTTCGGACGGCGAACATATACAGGGTGTACCGCGCGACCTCATCCGCTGGAAACGTTTCCAACGTGTTCTTTTTAACGTCGCAACTGCTGTGCCAGTCGAAATGACTGGTTTCAGTTGTCTTAACGGTAGAACTACCAAGCGTTTGTCGGGGTTGATGTGGAATTCTTATGAAGATTGTAACAATAGATTTTTGCTCGATTGCTTTACGTATTTGTTATAGTGTTTAACCAAATCGCGGAATTTCTCAAACGCAGGACGAATGCACCTAGGGTTATTTTAATGAAAAACCAAAACAAAATGAAGAAGAATTACGCGTTTATCTGAAAAAATTATTGGTGTATGAAAGTATTAAATCTTTCATTCGAATGTTTTGCACTAGAAATATATAACGTTTTCTAGTGTGATGCAGACGATGTTTAGCGAAACTTACTTCACCAGAAATCACATAATAAATTAAAGGACGTAACTGTTTTATTTCAACATGTCACGTGATTACATGTCATACAAAACTTAATGTTAGACGTTAAACTTGGAAATTTTACTGTATCAAATCTGGTGGTCACTGAGAGTCGCCTCTCGAGTGCAGAGGGTTAAATCCGAAATTATTTTATCAATTAATCATTTTGCTTACATATGAACCTCTGCAGAAACTTGGAAACATTTACAGTTACCATTTTTATAAAAATTATATATTGATTGTACTAAATACACGGTAGCTTTAGTGTTAAGAGTAACGATGTTTATTTTGTTGAAAGATTTTTTGTAGAGGAACACCTTAAAGATGAATTTAATTTGTAAGATAGATTCAGAGCAACTGGACTACGGTTGTTTCTATAATTTTCTATTTTTGAAAATTCGTATAAAATGGGGGATCATTTATTTTGTAACGGATTACAGCATATTTGATGTGGTGTAAAAGTGTTGAGAAATTTTGATAAATACTATAATAAATATTTTATTGCGTCCCACATAGTGAAATATGTTTTAAAATGTGTGAACATTCACGATGTAAACATGACGATCAAGCGTTGAAGGTCGGTAAAGGTTGAACAAAGGAAAACTTCTGTATAATTTTCGACGCCGCTGCAACACGTTGATGAACAAGTGAAGCGTTGTAAAAGGTCGAAGATTAAACAGAACGTTACTTTGCATTTCTAGTAACCTTGAAGCATTTATTGTTGGAACTCGTTGAATTCGTCGTTCAAAGGTTACCGATAGAGTAAAAACACAGCACTTCATTTAAAGGGAAAATATATTACGAGCCCTTTTCAGAAAAATCGAAATATTGTTATTACTTTATAATAATAATAAGTATTATTTTCACATGGAACATTCGAATTAAATATTAAATATAGGTAGATATGTTGTGTACTATAAAGGTAGATGAAACAACCCTTACAACAATAAATTTGAATTACATTTGCTTAACTTATATTTACTTATATTTACAAAATTTTTGCTTCAAGGTCAGTCCCAAGTCATATACAAATATACAATATAACGTATTATACATAAAAATATATGATTATATTTAAATGATAAGCAATGATCTTGATATATCTGAAAATATAATCTTCACATAAAAATATTTCGAGTGGTTCAGACAAATATGACACCCTAAACATACAAACGTTATTTCCAAGGTTATTTGAAGGTCATCGGTGCCTTTTAAACACTGACATCTATTTTTAATTTCGTAAGATTGTAATTAATACCAGGATAAATATAGTATATATGGTATATATACCAGGATTTATATATATATATATACACCTTTACTAAACTGATAATTAAATTTCTCTTTAGATACCAGGTTGTTAGATATTCTTTCATTATCAATAAAAATTGAATTTCGTCGAATTTCTGTGCTCCCGAAACTGAAGCATTGTTATTTTATTCGTAAATGTATATTTTTTCGAAACGGAGTATTCGCTACTCCAGAATAGCTGGACTGTGAACTATACAACACACTGTATAGTATTACACAATGGAGGAATTCTCATAACAGAATTTTTTTCTGAAATTTATCCAATGCGTCCAGAAATTTTTACCATAGTTTATCGTTTTTCATATTGATTGTACTCGTGTTACAGTCATTTTAAAGCAAATCCTTTCAAACACGTATTTTTTTAAGCGACGCGTATTATTTAAATATTTTTGTTAATTACTCCACGAAAAAATACAACACTGATTTTTAAGTGTTTCATTAGTCTTGGTCCCATATACGAGAATTAAAAAATGCATTTAAAAGACGTGAATTTCTTGCAACATTCATGTCGTGAAGTATACGTTTTAACTCGCTCGGGTACAACGTTGTCATTTGTACCGCATTTGATTATACCCTGTGTTATACTTAATAGCCTTATACTTCTTTTTTTCGAAAACGAAGAAGGGAACCCAGGGAAGTTTTTTTGTGCAATATACATACCACAAATGTGAAAAGTTTCAATCAAACCACCATTAATTTACGGAACTTTTTATATAGATATTTAACCCTCGTCCACCGTTCGGAATTAATTTAAAACTAGAGGTAAAAAACTCATTTTCGTTGATAAGTCTGTTTTCTTACTTTTAATAATAAGCTTATGTATATTAAAGAATACTTATATCAGTTTTACAGGAATAAAATGTGCACATGTTATTACACAGAGATAAAATAATACATTTCTGAAATATGACTTTCTTTGCAAAAACATCTGTTACCGCTCATGAATATTATTGATTAATAAACATGGTTTTTCAATAAAAATAAAATGTAAATTGATGCTTTATATATTTAAAGTAGATCGATGTAACTGAAACCAAATGGAAAATTTATTTTCTTGTGTTTTGTAGACTTTGAATGCTGTATGTGTAAAAGAAAGTAACAAACATTTCGATACTTAACAAACTTTATATTGATCGGAATAAATTGAAAGGAAAACTGCAAGTGACACGCCTAATACGTGAATCGAGTAAAGTGACAGTATTCAATTATATTGCGTCAGTTTCTCTAATGCTAATTTCACTATTTTATTATACATAACAAATTCTTCTTTCCTTAGGAAGATTTGTTGTGCGAACATTTGGTTATACTAATGAGATTTTTAATTTCATGCATTCATTTCATCGAAACTTATGAAATCGACAGTTTCATATGCGATTAGTTAAATTTTTATTTTGAAACAACCCAGAAATTAATAACAAAAATTTTACAATTCTTTCGCAACATGTAACAAAGTTACCTGAATATTTATAACATTAAATTATACTTGAAATATTGCGAGAAAAAGTAATTGCGTATTTTTATATTTCATATACTTCCACCTCTCCCGATTATCATATTTAAAAACAAAGTAGTATCTTTTTACTGATAGCATTAAACAGTGATAACATTTCAAGTATGATTCTGGTTTTTTATTTCTGTCTTTTAATTCTTCAAAGCGTTTTATTAGCTTGATTATATTCATCATTTAATTAATTGCAATTTTTCAAAGTTTGTCCGACCGACGAATTTTACGAACTATATAGAGTAAATATAAGTATCTACAAGATGTAAAATGAAAACTTAAATTCGGCAAATGATCTTTTTATTCATTCAATTTTGAATTTGCATTAACACCTATATAAAATAAAATTGCTATATTTAATTGTAATAAAAGATGGTTTAAATTTGTTCATATTATGTAAAACTATAATTATCGCAACTATTCATAGATGTAATGTTATTCAAAATGTATTTTAATTTGCGTAACAGGCATACAAGGCAATCTTAATGACTATATTTTCCTCATTAGACAATTTTTGTTATGTAATCGTGGTCGGTGGTTTAATTCATCAAACGATTGTCAAGTGAGAAATAGAAAGAAGAGTATAAACTTACCTTACGAACAGTTGTTCTTGATTATTCACTCGCCAGGATACCACCGTGGCCCCTAAAAAAAATAAAGAAACATTTCATCAGAATCAGAGATAGATTTTAGCTATTTTATCGCGCCTCATAAACATGACAATGAATATTTAATCCAGTATTAATTCACACCCGATATGTAATCCTACCGCGCGCACGCTTGTCACGTAACTGTCATCCATAGATGAAATTTTTTCAAAATCTGCGGTCTGTTTACAGTGACGGTATCGCGTCAGCTCAGACGCCAGAAACGACGTTAAAAAATAACCAGGTACGTTAAACGCGTTCGACACATCGGTAGAAAAGAATAACGAAAACAACACGTCGGTAGCGTACGTCAAATTCGAAGCTCGGCTATATCTGTACGCGTAACCCCGCAGATGCACGTAGAACTGCACAAAAACTGCAGGTTAGGCTCGAGTAAAGGCGCGCACACACTTCGTATTCTCAGATAAATTGTGGAAACGCGAACCAGATCTGGGAGCGGCACGTTGTCAATGCGTTACAGTACGCCCAATCGAAGCTCGTTACCGATCTACCACTTTTTATTTGATTTCTTTCAACGATTACCGACGATGTGGAATATAGCCTGTCGTGATAAAAACGACTCGCGCAAAAAATACTAGGTTAGTGCGTCGCTGCACGATAGAGTTGAAGGGAATGCTGGCAAAATTGAACGGTGAACTCGCAGATCTGATCGTTTGTTGTAATCTATTTGCGCGCACACACCGTGTAAATTAATCGTGCAGGTGGTATTGTTGCCCCTGTCGAGCACGACAACGCTGGTAGCCGCTGCCATGTTTGAATCGTGAATGCGCCGCCGGCTCCACGACCGACGCAGTCAACCTTTGTTCAATGCCCCGGCTTCATCCCCACCAACGCCACTTTTACACTTTTTATATACCCCCGGTCGTTAAGCAGCGTCATCTATGGAGATTACTGGAAACAGTATAAAACTGATATATTCGATATCGATAAGGACGATCTTCGATTAAATAAAGTCGTCTTTTTTGATCACCTGCCATAGAGTGCAGAGAACAGACGAGTGTTTATTATACTTTTATTGGTACTTTAATAATGAAAGCTTAAATAACATTTTCGTATGACATCTAACGTTGTACCATCAATTTAGATGTCGAATGCACTGGCGGGATATCTATATGCACAGCAGTTTTCGCTTAATTTACGCAAGGGTTAATGGGTTCAAGTCGCAACTATTATCGAGGGAGGCAAGTTTAGAGGATTGTTGTATGGTTTTGAAACGGGAATAAGATTTATTGAGTGGTAATAAAGTAGAAAATTCGATGATTGTTTTGGAATATATTGCACTTACAGTTATAGTACAAGTTACTTAGAAATTCAAATAGACATTCTTCCATTGTTTTAGCAAAAATACACAGAAATATGAATGATATACTCTCCGATATTTGTCTTTTAGGTATATTATATATTGTTAAGATAAATTAAAAGAAGAGGTTTATTAGAAATTCTGAAATATTATTTTATTTGAAATCGTTCAATTTAGTAACAATTCTTGTTTGGAGCAGTTTAGATTGTGACTTAATTTTAGTTAAAAAGTGATATAATTTTATAATTACTTCTTTTTGGAAAGTTATTTAAGATATGTATATCAAATTTTTTCTTGGAAGCTCTTTGTATTTTCTATAAATTTTCAGTTGCACTACTATAAAAATATTCAACAATTTGTTTGCTTATGAAGTAAAGACTTTCGAAATTGTTTATTACTTTTAAAGGCGTCGATACTACAGACCAATGAACCAGATTTATCGGTGCTGTAATAATCGAATTCACTGTTGTCATCACCTAGTTAGAATCAGTGGCATTTAACGACGTCGATATTACAGATTCCTGGCAACACGAAGTTCTATAACGTAGTGTTCGCGCATAAGATCCTTTCATTAACTTAAGAAGATAATACCTAATTTAAAATTATTGGCTTGCTGCGTGATTATTTCGGATCGTGATTCGTAGAATGCTCCAAAGTAGTGAATGTATTTCAAACATTAAGATAAATTGAAATTTTCCTTAGTCATTTCAGAGAAACGAGAATTAAACAAAACTTTACCTCTTTGTTGTGCTTCTGGAGACGTTGAAAGTAGGACAAGACATTAATTATATTTTTATTAACTCACTTGTCTTATTATATCACGCGTTATCACGTAATAAAATTAATCTATCCTCACACATCGCGTGTACAAGTAGAACAGCGAAATAACCCGGCTACCGCGCTGGAATATGCTACGTCTGTGCTGCCTCAGCATCGTAGATGTGCATCGAACTCCGTGGGTAATAAAGTTTTATTGATAATGCATAAATGCATTGATTTTTCTTTTAACGAAAAGAAATATTAACGTCAAGCATTTTCTATCCTTAAATATTAATTCTACACCTTAAATAGTATTTCTGCAATATGCACCAATGTGATACTGACAACTATGATGTCAAGTTATAAGATTTAAAGTGAACCACTTTCACACTATATCTTCAGTAATAAAACATCAATTATTGAATAAAAAATACAGTATCCGTAAATTTTAAACATATCTTTAAATTCAAATATATACAACCTATACAATTAACCATATCCACAATATATCGTATAATAAATATTTTCACATACTGGTTTCAGAAAAGCCATATCACCATAAATATTGCGATAGAGTACACCAGTGTCAGAATCAGTATTAATATACTCAGTTAGCGAGCAAACGTAAAGAGACAGTTCCAAAAATTCCTTCCAGAATCCAAATGTTCGAACTACCCGCCGCGACCCTAGTTGTGCACCAATGGGAATACTAGAATCCCCGTATTTTCAAACGGCAACGTCGCGTTCGATGCGTTGCGTCGGGGATGTGGCACCGTCGGACGAGCGAGCCAGTGGATGGGACCGGTTGACAGAGTTTAGAGTTCCTTTGCGGTGATGTCTCGTCGTTCATTTTACTGTGCTGTCGTGCGTAGTGTCAGCCCGTCGGAAAATTCGCAAGAGAGCCACGCGTTCGTGACTTCGGTCCCATCGTTCATCGGGAAACCGACCGCAACGTAAATCGAGTGTAATCAGCGGGCAGTGTGTGGTGCTGTGGAGCAGGAGACGATGAGGGCCGGAGGGATAATTCGGGTGGCGACTTGAGGGCAGAAATGTTGAAGTTTGGCAGCAAGAGTGACGTTACGGTGGTGCATCGCGCCACTATTCGACTCCTGGACGACGCCGAAATTATCCACTGTGACTTTCAGGTGAGACCATTCATTGACCAGTAGCCGCCGCACGCGACGGGGCTATTGATAACACTTGTACACGCGCTTCTTCTACCCCTTTTTACCTCCTACGACCGGTAACGATCGCTCAGCGAAACAACCCGATGGTTCAGTAGCCTGTGAACTTGAAAACACGACTTTCCGAACCAATTCTTTTTTTTCTTCTCTTTCTCTCTTTC